TGGAATTTTTCCACCCTCTGTTCAGACACCTTTCCTGGCTTCCCCGACCCTTCTGAGCATTCAGAAACACATTCCGGTGCTCGTGCATGCAGCCTTTCATCTCTTTTCCTTTTTATTTGCCTGATGGATTTTAAATGTAAAATATTTGGTTTATGCATTTTACCAGACTTGGATTGCTGTTCTGTCTCATTCTGTACGCTTCAAAAGTCCCAGCACACAAGGTGAATATTTTTTGAAAATGTGGTTTCCATGTATCTGTTGGTAGAAGCATAAACCCAGAACACCTTCACTTTCCTGTGACTCCTTTGGGGTTCTGTTTTTCCAGATAGGCGTGACTTCTCCCTCCCTCCCTCCCTCCCTCCCTCCCTCCCTCCCTCCCTCCCTCCTTCCCTCTCCTCTGTCCCTCCTTCCCGCTCTCCCTCCCTCTCTCCTCTCCTTCCCTCCCTCCTTCCCTCCCTCCCTCCCTCCTTCTCTCCTTCCCTCCTTCCCTCCTTAATTTCTTTCTTTCCTTCTTTCTTTCTTTCTTTCTTTCCTTCTTTCTTTCTTTCTTTCTTTCTTTCTTTCTTTCTTTCTTTCTTTCTTTCTTTCTTTCTTATACATCTGGAGAGGGGGAAGGGTTTATGAGTCTTTTTACATAACTTGGTTCTCAACTCCTCAACCTAATGTTTATCATGTTTCCTCTCCTCAGGAGACCCATGACTTTCACTTAGCAGAGCCCTCCACATTAACAGTGAGGACATCATCTTTAAAATATGTGCTCTGTCCCAGCTGCTCACATTCTGACCCCATTTCTCTCTAAGGGCTCTTCCTCTCCTGCTCTCCAAGGCTAACTCAAGTCTTCAGACCCTCTGTCAGGGCCTGCTTTGATCATTTTTTTTCACACTGAGTAGCAAATTGTTGGCATCAGTTGAAGGTGCTGTCCTTTCCAGAGGTGCTCACCTGGTAACAGAGCACAGAGTCTTAAGGGAGTAGCAGGAGCCTCATCTGCTGTTCCTGCAATGAGTGGTACAGCTCCTGCTGTTCTGGGTGCTCAGAATGTAAACAGATGCCCACAGCCCAGCACCATGGGGACCTAGGCAAGATCCAGTTCCCCTGAACCAGCCATGGTGACCCACACCTGTAATCTCAGCATTGGAAAGGGTGAGGCAGGAGAATTGCCTGGTCCGCAGGATGACTGTTTTACAGTTACCATGAGCCTCCTTCTCCATGTGTCCTTCCTTAGCAATCCAGACATCAGTCACGGTGAGACTGCCTCATTTACTGTCTGACTGGGTTCTGTGAAACCTAAAGATCTGTTTTATAGGATCTCCCAGAGCAGACCAGCGCTGCTATCCTCTCTAATCTTTAGGGATGTTGGGAACCTTGTGACTCCTAATGGCATATCGTAAACAAAATATGCAGGGCTGGCAGCGTAGCTCAGTGGTGGAGGCCCTGCATTCAGCCCCAGCATCGCAAGAATGTATCCAGCAGGTCTTGCAGAAGGGTTTCCTCCATTCCACAGCCTTCGCTTACTGTCTAGATCTCGTGTGGTCTTCTAGCATTGCTCTTGCTTACCATGGCCTAGCTCTCCTCACCATCGGGAGGAGGGAGTAAGAACAGAAGATAGTTCAAAGGCTCTGGTCTAGAGCCACCCTGAGCCTCCTGGTTGGGTGTAAGGTAACAGTGCCGTCTCAGCCATCGCTAGGAGCTCCTAGGTTTGGAATCCAATTGCAGCTTTAGTTTTCTCTCAGAGCCTGTATTTCTAGGTCTTTCATCCCCTCTTGATATTTAAGGCGTTAAAGAACCCTAGTTATCAGTTTAAACTACAGCAGGTATGTGAATCTAACGTCTTCTGCAGGTGGTTGAAACAATATTAGAGAGCCTAGTCCTGATCTTAAACTCTCATCTGGATTCTGAGTTAATCCAAAAAAAAAAAAAAAACAATAAAAATTAGTCATATGTATTTCATGTCTCTGACATGTGTTTTCCATTATTTGGTCTTCTGTGCTGCAGCGTGTGTGTGTGTGTGTGTGTGTGTGTGTGTGTGTGTGTGTGTGTGTGTGTGTGCGCGCGTGCGCATTCATATACAGAGACACACACACAGTGACTGTACTTCCAAAAGGAAATGGCTGGTGTGGCGCCTTGAAATCTGAACTTGGTCACATGTTCTGAATGAAATGATTCCAAATACATTAGCAGAATGTCTTTCTTCCATCTTCTACTTTCTGGAAAATAGTTCAATGCGAAACACTAGCCAACTTCTAGACATTTAAATTTAGTTGTATAAAGATAAATAATTTGAAAGCCATTGCATGGAGTCATGACTTGGAAAATTGGTGTTAAGCTGCTATAGCAATGGCCTTAAAGAAGAGGTTAGTGTACAGCAGCAGCCAGCTGTTCTTCATCTCTGGTATGGCTGAAAAGAAAATTAGCTTCAATTATAATTGAAGAGACTTAGAAGAGTTGTAAAGGAAACTTATCACCAGTGAGAATGTTTCAGGCAGTGACTAACCTATCAAAGCACAGGGACTATTTTCCCTTGGCTTTAAAATAGAAGGAATGTATTGTATACTATAAAATGAATATGTTATTAGATTTATCTAGTGGTTTTTTTTTTAATTTTTTAACTTTTCTTTTTTAATTTTTAAGAATCTAATAGGCTGTTTTCCAAAACATACAAATTTTGTATACAATATCAGAGAACACGTAGACTCTCTGAAGTGTGTGTATTAGATCCCCTTTGAAAACACCCCATACTAGATAGATGTCTCGAGCTGCCCCACCTTCCTATGTGACAAGCTTTAAGACTCACGTTCCCCAAACATAACAGTGGAGTCTGAAGATCAAATGTCAGGCTTTGGGTTTTCTTCCAAAATGCTCGACATATTTAGTGTAAAGGTTTAAGAAAGGATAATGGGACAGGAAGAATCTTACTTCTAATCTGAGCTCATTTTCACTAAAAAATATTCAAATTTAAAAATTACTGTTTGGCTGTGTATTATCATAATAGAAAGGTAGTATGAGCCGGGCGGTGGTGGCGCACGCCTTTAATCCCAGCACTCGGGAGGCAGAGGCAGGCGGATCTCTGTGAGTTCGAGGCCAGCCTGGGCTACCAAGTGAGTTCCAGGAAAGGCGCAAAGCTACACAGAGAAACCCTGTCTCGAAAAACCAAAAAAAAAAAAAAAAGAAAGGTAGTATGAGACTAGGCTCTCCTGAAAACACAGCTCCAGATTCACAGATGAAAATGCAAAATCAGATGCCACGTTGACTACTGAACAGTCTTCCAAATTTTCAGAGCTTCTGGTGTAGTGTCATGATTATTCAGCTGGGATTGAGAAATATTATGTGTTTATAATTCTCTCATCATTTCATTTACTACAAGTTGGAAAATGACCACCCAGGATTACAAATGAGGGAGTAATTTGGCCCTGTCCCCGAAGTAAAAAACTTCCATCCTCTTAGAAAGCATAGAGGGAGTATAGTATGCATCTGGGTATTTCAAATTCATGATAATGGAGGCTGCAGAGATGAGCCAGATTGAAGTGGGGGGAGCTTAGTTCTTACAGACAGTAGTAGTACCTGTAAGGAGACGCACGCACGCACGCACGCACGCACAAGCACACGCACACGCACACGCACACACACACACAAAGCAAGTATCAGATAAGGGATGGATCACCTGGAGTTGGAGTTCATGTGATTGTGAGCCACCTGACTGCTGTGGGATATTTTGATCATATTCCAACACTCCCAAGACTGTCAATAAAGTTTACTTTATGATTAGGGCTTGAAGTATATCATTCCATGCTTTCTTGGCTTTTAGGGTAGCCAACAAAAAATCTGACATTATTCTGATATGTCTCATTTGTGTGTCAATCAACATTTTCCCTTACACCTTTTACTATTATTTCCTAACTTTGCACTTTTGACATTTGTAGTAGTTAGTGTTGTCAGCTTGACAGAATCTAGAATAACTTGGGAGGTGGGCCTTTGGACATGGCTATGGGAGGTTTCTTGATTGATTTAATAGAGGTGGGATGATTCACTCACTCTATTGAATGGGGCTGTTCCCTGGATGGGATCCTGTGAAAATGGAGAGCAGGAGCTGAGCAGCAGTATGCATTCATCTCTGTCTGGTTCTTTCCTGTGGATGCTTCAGGCTTCTGCCATCTTGGCTTCCTCTCCGTGGTGGACATACTTTGAACTGTGAGCCAGAATAACTCTTCCTTTCTTAAATTTCCTTTGTCGGGGTATTTCATCACAGCAACAGAAAAACTGAGACATCTTAACTATGATATATATGTCATGCAAAGGTTGTCTGGTCATAACTCTTTGGGGCTCTAAATGCTCATGTATTTGGATGTCCATTTCCTTCTGTGGGCTTGGATATTTTCTGCTAAAATTTCATCGAGTAAATAGCCTTTGCCCTCAGGCTTTAACTACCTGCTTCTGCCCATGGGTTCTTAGTTTTGGTCTTCTGAAGACATCCCAGCATTCTTGGGAGTTTGGGTCATGCTCACTGTATGTATCACTTGTGTCCCTAGTAAGGTTTCCTGACAGTAGTACTAGGGTACCTGCTGGGGAACGTGTGGTTTATAGTTTTTTGGACTTGAGGGTATGAGTACGGAGGTAGTGATGGGGATGGGCAAAGGAGCAGGAAGAATGAGAAACAAACAACGGGCTTTGAGGGCTGAGACGTAGTAGAGAAAGTATCGTGAAGGAACAGTCCAGAAGCCTTTCCAGGGGGGGTACAAGTTAACCACGAGCGAACAACTAAAGCACAAAATGTAAACAGTTCTTCAAATAAGGGATACAGTGAAATGGGAGGTAGAAGGGCGTGGTGTTTCTCCCTCCTCTTGAGTTGTCTTGTATATCGGTCTCCAGGAGGGAAGGACAGGACACACTGGCACCCAGGCCAGCTGTAGATAGCTCTGCTAGAGACTGATGAAACTCCTGTCCTCCTTGAAGTGTAGTGACTGCCCACACCCCGTTGCCCGTCTAACCCTGTGTCTGCTCCACAGATAACGTGATCAATGGGCAGGACTATGAAGTGATGATGCAGATTGACTGTCAGGTGATGGACACCAGGATCCTCCACATCAAAAGCTCCTCTGTTCCTCCTTATCTCCGAGATCATCAGAGGAACCAAACCAACACCTTCTTTGGCTCCCCTCCAGCAGCCCCGGAGACGACCCATGTTGTCAGCACCATCCCTGAGTCCTTACAGTAGTCCCTGGGCTGCACTGGAAAGCAAGGGGTGGGCTGCCAATCGGAAGGGCCGGTGAGCAATGCTGCCCTCTGCTCCTCGCCTAGTGGAGAACTAACTGCCTCGTGCTGTGACTCAGGGAAAGAGAACCAGCGCTGACTTCCACCTCTACCCGCCTGTGCGGAGGAACGTCTGGAGCGCCTTCCTCGTGGTGCGCGGCCCCTGTGGAAGTGTTGCCGGCCGTTGGTGACTCTGTTGTGTCTCTCTTCACTGCTTTCCCTATTGGATGTGTCTTGTTCTTAGTCACCTCCCTCCAGATAAGGCCCACTTCCTCTTTTGTCCACTGCACTTCCTGGCCCAGTAAAGCAATTTTCTTTAAAGTTTCAGAACACATGCCCATGTGGTTTCCACCAATTGGCTTTCTCTCTCCTTTAACTCAAATCCATTCTGAATCCCAGACTTGAGAAAACACATTTCAAAAACCCGAACAGCCAAAAGCATCCCACAGACTCAGAACAGTTTAGGGTTTGGGGTAAAGGGATCATCCCCAGTTGGTAAAGTTTACTTTTACTTGTGATTTGTGGTTCAGCCCTGAACAAATAACTGTTGTGGGGTCAGAGAGTCAGCCACACCCCGCAGAGAAGGGGAGGGAAGGTCAGTGTGGGTGAGGAGGAGGCGGTGACTCCATTCACACGTGTGTTTAAACACGGGTTCCCACGGCAGCAGTGTGAGTTTAGAGCCCCGGCTGCCAACTCTGCCAGTCTGCACAGATCCTTAAGGACCTCAGGGCAAATGCTTCCTTCCCATTGTGAGTCCTCAGCCCAGGACACACTTCTGTGAAACCAGACTGCCAAGGAACGTGGAGGTGACTTCAGATTTAAGCGCAACTAGAGCGTGTTCCCTTAAGGACTGGCAGTGCCCTCAGCCAGCATGGATTCCCACTGAGAGGCCACACCAAAAACTTTCACTTTCTCCAGTGGAAAGGTAATAAAGAAAGTAGCTCTCTTAGTCCATGGAGGGAAAAAGAAAGAAAAGAAGGAAGGGAGGGAGGAAGGAAGGAAGGAAAGAGGGGAAAGAAAAAAAAAAAGCTATGGCTGGGCATATGCCTTTAATCCTAGCACCACTCAGAGGCAGGGCAGGCCCCGAGTTTGAGATCAGCCTGGTCTGCATATCAAGATCCGGGACAGCCAAAGCTATATAGAGAAACCATCTCAAAAAAATGAATAAAAAGCAGAAGTTATGTTCATATATGTTTTCTTGTATTCTGCCTGCTTCCTTTACCATAGCAAGCAGCTAAATTGCTACTGTACTGTTCAGTGGTGAATTCACAGAAACGGGTGTTGCTCCCCGTGTGCCGCCTTCCTTCTGAAGTGAGTAGTCCCTCAGAGCTTTTTCACAGAATCTCCCCGGCTGGCTTGCAAGCCTTTGTCAGGCGGTCCACTGCAGTCCACACAGCCCTAGGGGGTTGTGTGCAGTCTGGTTGTTTTTGCTGGTGACGATCCCATTATGCCTGGCTCCTCATCGACAACATTCTGGACGTTGTTGTTGTCCCCCAAGCTAGCCAGATGCTCCTGAGGCAGGGCTGCTTTTGCTGTGTTACCTGGGAATCTGGAGTTCCAATAGTGCAGCCTTCTCTTTTCCCACAGTGCAAACTGCTGAATTCAATGCCACAGTCCATCCTGATCGGCTCTTGGGTGATTTTCAGACAAGACCTGTTTTCCCTGGGGACTGGTCTTCTAATGGGTGCCAAGGAATAGATAGCAAATGCATGGAATACTTTTAGGGGGTATCCATTTGCGAGGAAAGTGGGATACCCTGTGGCCCTGTTCCTCTCTGCCCGGGAAGTGGCCAGAGAGAGGGTGTGGCCGTGGCTGTAGGCCTCAGCCGCATAGTCATCCCTGCTGCTGATCGCCGGAAGACACCGATAGTGTCTGCAGTGACTCACTGGTACCTCTCCCTCTCGCTGCACCGCACAAGAAGAAGTCATCCGGGGACTCTTGTCTTTGGCATCATCGCTCTGTCGTGTTCATTCTACCAATTCCTCAGACCACAGGCCTCAGTAGAGTCACGCCTCTCCTGCAGGTGACATTGGGGATGATGGTTGGGAGGAAGGCACAGCCAAAGAGCAGGCAGATGTTAGGGTGGCCACAGTGCAGGTCAGGAAGCCCAGGAGCTGGGAAGGGCTGTTCCTTGTAGTCTGGAGCCTTGCCAACTCTGCCCTCGCTAGCCCTCCAGGTCTTGTCCTTCCCTCTCCTAAGTCCACCTGGTGGGGTGAGGAATGGGATCCTCCTCGGGTTGTTTCAGGAAACAAGGGAAAGGCACTTGACGGATACCCAGAGTATCCTGCTGTTGAAATTGCTGAAAGAGCTGTCATCTGTGGGTACGGTAGTTTTTATCTTAATGTTTGTGTGCAGCACAGGCCCCCTGGAAAGGGAAAGCTGCTGTAATGGAGCAAGTTAAGCAGACATTCAGGTTTCAGTTTCTGTTTTGGTGAGATTGCCTTTTGGGGTCTATAGCCTGGAAATATAGATAGGAGCTATCTGCGACATAATATATATTTTTAATTTATTAAGTTCTGAAATGTGATTTTTTTTGCAAGATTATGAAAAAAGTAAATAAATTTGAGCTAGAGAAGTGGCTCAGTGGTTAACAGCACTTCTTGCCCTTCCAGAAGACCCAGGTTCAGTTCACAGCCATCTGCAACTCCAGTTCCAGGGGGATCCTATGCCTCTTCCTACCTCTATAGGCACTAGACACACATACATGGTGTACACTCACATGTGCAGGCAAAACGGATCCACACAAAAAATAAAAATGAGTAAATCTGCTGTTTTATTTAGCTACATTCCCAAAGGAGGCACTCCACCTGTTACTAGAAGGCTTTGTGCCTAGGCTGTCGGCACTGTGATGTCAGAAAGTGATGATGGAGGCTGACAGGGTGGCCTTTCATCTCGTTGCAAGTCCCCAGCTTTTAAATTCGGTGGAAGCAAGCGGGTGTTTCCTCCTGTTAACTACTGGGTCAGAACTGCTGCTCCCCAAGGTTAGCTCCTAAAACAGCTCCCCTAGAGTGTAATGTGAGCCTGCTTTCAGTTAGGAGAAGATGAGGAAGATGCCTGTGAGACAGATGTCCTTCTTACCATGCGTTAGTACAGCGCCTTCACCATGGGCTAGTGGGTAGAGTCTGTTTTTTAAAATGCAAAGCCCCATGGTTACAGGTTCATAGCATCTTCTAATTTCTTCCTAATGAAGTAGCATAAAGCGGGCACCTTTTTGCCTTTTGTGGTAGTAAGAAGTAGACCCTGGGCTGGTGAGATGGCTCAGTTGTTGAGACTTGTTGCTGCTTTTTCAGAGGTTCCAGTTCCATTCTCAGCACCTGGATCACAGCTCATGGCTCACAGACTGCCTGTTCCTAACTCCAGCTCCTGGAGATCAAATGCCTTCTTCTGGTCTCCATAGGCATCTGCGCACACATGGCATTCACACACACACACACACACACACACACACATACACACACACACACACACACTAATAATGAAGCAGACAAGTATGTACTTGAAAGTGACAACATCAAGTGATTCATTCCTAAAATTTCCCAAAAAAACTGTTGCTTACAAACAGAGAAGGAACTTGGGATTCAAACTGACTTTTCTCTCATGTTTAAAGAGACACTGTCCTGGTTCAATCTTGTCGGCCCAAACCTCTGTCCTGGACAGATATTCCCCGGTAGTCACAGTAGCAAGATGCTATCAGACATGGCTGCTGTGACCAGAACGTTTGACCCGGGAGAACTCCCGCTATTTCACAACTGTGAGACTGTATTTCAGTCTTGCCGTTTTCCTATGAAAGATAACAGAAATGTACTACAGGAACAAAACTGGGGATTGCTTAACTTCCTTCCACTCTGAAAACTTCTATTCTACCTTCTGCTTCCATAGATGCAGCCACGTGAACACCCTTGACCTAGAGAGTCAGGGTCTGATCCCATAGCCCTCCTTTAGTCTAAACTCTTGGAAGTGCCTACCTATGACAGCATCTTCCCACCTCAGCCTGGGGGGCTGACTGCTTCCTTCAGCAGGTACACAGACCTGAATGTCCAAGTGAGACAGTCTCCTGCTGTAGCTCCGTCACAGTGATCAACCTCCCAAGCACTCTGCACATTGCCATAATTGGTAGAAACTTATTGCCACCTTACGGACTCCATATTCTTCACCCACATGTTCTTTTCATCAGTTGTAGGCCATTTTAACTTACATAAGTAATGATTTTTTTCCTGCTAATATGAATATAATATGTCATAATTTTAACCAAAAAAAAAAAAGAAGAAGATAATGAAATGAAGAGATTGTCTTTCCCACCCTAATAGCACTTGGAGAGAGACATTCTTCCCCGTTCCACTACAGGAATTATGGGTGATTTTTTAATTAACTACCTATGAAGATATCACCAGAGTCCAAAAGAAACTATGCACATAGAAGAAATACAGTTTTATCCTGCCTAAGAAAATTCTATTAGTATTCTATTAGCTTATATTTTTAATAACTAAGCTTAAAACAGTTTATTTTGGATATTACTAGAGCTTTCAGCAATGATTAATATCTGTCAGGTACGTATAGAATCTATGAAAAAAAAAAAAAGAATGATAAGCCTGTGTGATTAGGAAATATACCGAGTCATGTCATGGCTAGCCAGTGTCACAAAATGACCCTGTGTTCCACTAACTTTAAGCATTGCAGATTTAGTGCATGAAAAGATTTCCTTGTATTGGGCTCAAGAACTAAGGAGTAAATAAGTCATTTGTCAAGGTCAACAGATACCACGCTGGTGTGCTCTTTGTCCTCAGTCAACTTGGTGACTGGTTAAATAAGTGTGGCATGTCCCCAGCATGCTAACCCCAGACTGGCCTAGCAGACTGACTCCACAGCAAGTGTGTATCGATCGAACTGTCTTAATTCTCAACTCGAGCTTCTGAGCAGTGGCCAGGATTCAGGAGATGATGAAAGCTATGAGGCACTGTCTCTGAGATTCTAGATTTCACACACACACACACACACCTCATTGTGGTAATAAGGTTCAGCTAAGGCCAGTAGCATGGTATCCCTGATCATGTAAGAATGTGTGGGAGATGGGTATGTAGCTCAAATGAAAGAGTCCTTGCTTAGAATACCTGAAGCCATGAGTTCCTTCACCAGTACCACATAAACCAGGCATGGTGGAGTATGCTTTAGAATCCTAGCACTTGGGAGGTGGAGGTGAGAAGATCAAGAGTTCAAGGTCAAACTGAGTTACATGAGATCATGAATCACTGTGTGTTTAAGAAATGCAGGAAAGATGTATTGTTCTCTCCTTTAATAATTATGTTCGTTTACAATAAATAATGGCAACAGACTATTTCGTACTCTCCAGTCTTTATAATGCAATACCTGTTCTTTCTCTAAAATCCAAATAAAGAGTTTTAAAACTTGCATTGTCTGTCTCAATATTAAGTGGTCAGCAATGGGAACGGAAGCCTAACGAGGTTTTGTGGTTTCTGTGTGTTTAGAAGAAGCACCAAGCTCCTTTCTACTGTCTTCGCAGAATGGGCCAAATAAACTTTTCCTTTATTGTGTCCAGACATTTGAACTGCAATCACATCAGGGAATAGAATCATCTAAAACCTGTACTTTAACCTTCTGCATCATCCAGGTTACTCAATTACAGATCCAGTCTTTACCAAAAGCCCTTTCCCAGCTTGGGATGCCAGTGCCACAGTGAATGAAGCCAGTCACTGCAGATGGACAGCAATTTAATGCAGGCCTTTACTGGGCCTCAGACTACTTCAGGTTCGTTATCGTATTTCAGCCCTCGGCAGCATGTTTCCTAAGAGAGTTAGAGAGTTAAGTGGTGGAGCCACTATTTGGACGTAGGCCATTTAGCTTCGATACTGATTATTAACTACTTTTACCTTCTGAGGCATGGAACTGGTGTAGGTTCTTGCCCTGACAGAACTCATGTAAGGTCAGTCTGGAGCCAGATACACAAATATATATATATAGAATAACATCAGGATTCTCTGATAGGTTAGATTAGTCAAGTTTATGCTTCTGTAATAAAATGCCTGAGAAAATGCCACCAGGAAAGAGGTATTTTGGCTCATGGGTTCAGCACACAGTTGGTACTTTTGCTGTTGGGTCTGTAGTAGCAGCCCATGACAGAAGAGATTGTTTATCTCATGGCAGCCAGGAAGCAATGAGAAACTGAGCAAGAGACTGAGCTCTACTATCCCCTTCAAGGACGCGCGCGCGTGTGCACACACACATACACACACACACACACACACACACACACACGCGCGCGCGCGCGCGCACACACACACACACACACACACACACTCAGTGACCTAACTTCCTCCCACTAGACTCCACCTCCTCGAGTTTCTGTCAACTCCCAGTAGCACCACAGGCTGGTAACTATACATTCAACACCTGACCTTTGAAGGAAGTTCAAGATTCAAACTGTAGCAAAGACAAAGTAGCATCCATTTCAGAACATACCTTAAGAGACTTTAAAAGACCCTGGAAACCTCATCTAGAATGACATCTCGGATCCCTTCTGCAGAGAAGGTTAGCAAAGATTAGGAAAGAAATGAACAGCAGAAAAGAATCAGGACCAGATGACATGGCTGGAGATGGGGTCCTTCAGGAAGTAACCTCACAAGGAGGAGCTCTGGTGGCAGAAGAGCCAAGGGACTCTGATGAGCTGTGATGATGAAACCTCGATCCTCTTCCTTTTCTGAACCCTTCGATCAAAGCAGGTGTGTGGCTTTCTACCCCGGTTGTTCTGCGGAGAGAGGGAATAAGGGCAGGTTCGGCGTGGCACAACCAACGGCAAGAAAGCATGCTGACAGGTCAGCAAGACAAGCCAGTAGAACAACAACAAAACCCCCTGTTCCCTCCACGCAAGCCACTGTCCCCATCAAATTCTTACAGGATCGTCCCCTGGGACTTCCCATCCCATGTGGGACGTAGGTCACGCCAGTTTCTGAGTCTCGAAGGACAACCACAAATAACACTTGGTTACACAATATATGGTGTCTTAAATAGAGGACTCTCCTGTTGGAACCCTGCAATTTCTCTGACTGTTCCTCTTTGGATAGAGATTCAGATACAGTGTTTTGCTTACCACAAAATCTATAACATTTCATTGCATCACATTGATATGATATGATCTATACAAACATTAGAAGACAGTCCTCTCTTAGTTCAGTTAATGGTAATAAATAACTCTTGTTTATTGACGATGTAACTTTCTGCCAGACATTGTGTTAGGCATTACAAGCATTACTCATTTAAGCTTTAGAGCAGTCTTAGTTGGGCTGGAGAGATGGCTCAGTAGTTAAGAGCACTATGTCTTCTTCCGGGGGACCAGGGTTCTATTCCTAGCACCTACATAGCAAATCACAACTGTCTAATTTCAGTTCCAGGGGATCTCATGCACACACACATACATGAAGGGAAAACATATATACTAAAAATAAACACCAAAGAGTTTTAAATCAGCCTAACCGTAGACATCATTATCCACACACATCACAGATGAAGAAACAGAAGGGATTATCTCGCCCAGGATCTCACTAGTACATATAGTGAAGCTGGGAGTTGACATTAAGTCTGATGATTATAAAGCCACGACCTCCTACATTGCCATTCACCCTTTGAGGCCATCCATAAAGGAGGGCAACAGGTGACAAAGGGGAAAGAACGAAACATACCCAACATGTGCAGCCAAGGTGGTGAGGCGTGTTCAGGAAACGGGACCATCACTAAGGCAAGGGTCCAACGGTGCTGAGGAGGTTGCCATGAGGGACTCATTCCCTTAGAAGACACACACTCAATGCTGGCTGCATGGAGAACGGCTGTTGCACTGCCTTCCCTGGACGTTGGCCTCTGTGGTCTCCATCTGTACGAGTTACCCAGTGGGACGTAACATGTAACCCTATTCCCAGGACGCATCCACTCCCTGCTCTTCTGATCCCAACTTTTCCCTGCCTGAAGTTTTCCTCACAGAATTAACTCTTAGTGAGGATGTCAGACCATGAGATGGTGAAAGATTCCTAACCAATACATTAGTCCAGCACTGAAGGATATATCTTACAGTAAGTGAACACACTATAGTAATAAATGGACCATTTTATGACATTAACTGCTTTCAAGACTTTCCTGAAATCTATGCTCTCCTAGATGAAGAGCCTCGTAAGACTAATTTTAAAAAGTGCTATCTCCAGTTGTTTACAGGCATAACCCATAATTCTGTAAACAGTGAACTAAGTATCCAGGAAGAACTCAGAGCTTTGGAAGCCATCTCTGATGTCCATTTCCTACGTGTCCAGCCTGACCTCTCAAGTCTCTGGCCATCCCCATTGTCTGAGCACCAGTGGAGCTGGTGGGATTCTTGGCCGTTTCCTCACAGACAGTGGGATAGAAGAAATGGCCTTGGAATGTGAACCTTTAACCACAGATCTTCTAAGTGCTGCACCAAGCTGGAGCATCTAGCATTGGGCTGTGGGAAACTGCGGAGAGGACCAGACAATCTTCTTTCCCGTGATGATATTTAAACAGTGCCTCTTCCCTGGTTCCATGTGGTCACCCTCTGTTCCCACAGAACAAAAGACAACTTCCAAAAGTTGCTGGTCAGCCTAAAAGAATCAAGTTAGACACAAGCTGATCCCAGGAGAGATCTGGGAGTGGGAGGCTCACTGTCCGGGGTCTTACCATAGCCACAGAGTTCACTCCCTCACTTGACTCCTGCTCCCAGGATATAAATGGTGTGTTTACCACATTGCCTCTGGTTTCAAGTTGCTGGAATTCCCCTCTGCTAAGCAACATTTTTCACATCAGACCAGCACATTGCCCCATTGGGTCTGGCAGTCTCTTAGAAGACAAAATCCAACAGCCCACCCCCCCACCCCCACCCATACAACCAGCCAGGCCCTCTCCATCAAACCACCAGCTGGGAGGAACTGGGAAGTCCTCTTAATTTAAACAGCCTGGGCAGGAAGGAGCCTGGAGCAGTGAAACCTTTGATGGCTCTGTGGGTCACCATCCCGGTGAGCTCTTCTAGAAGCATACCATACCGAAACTGGCAGCACACTTGCGGCTAATTCCTCTCCCCAGGAGCCACAATCTGGTTCAGGCCAGCAGAACAGGAGTCACCCAGCAGGAGAACTGAACTCACAGAAACTAGATTTTTTTCCCCCTTCTCATCACCTCTGAAGTTGATACTTGTTAAATACCTGCCATTCCTGTAAGACAGCGACGTTCAGACAGGCAGGAACCCTCTCACGGTCTCAGCCATGGTGTTGGATCCAGGTGTGCTGTGGGGGCAGTGTGCTCTGAAAATAGGGTTTGGGGCATGTTAAACTACTATTTTGAATTGTGTTGTTGTATCTTTACAAAGCCAAGGCATGCATTGTCTTTCCAGAAGAATATGCAATAAACTGGCACTTGTCACATGTGCTTACATGTCGCCACATGCTAATAGTCACAGAGCACTAACAGTGTAGAATGCATGAGACCCAGCACTCACACAGGACAGAGCCCAGCCTTCCCTCAACAGAGGGGCCATCCTTAGCTTTCCCTTGCTCTTCTCATTTCCTCCTGCTGCCTTTTCCCTCAGCCTTCAGTCTGGCGAGTTAGAAGCTGGTCCGCAACTATAGCCCCGAGAGTGCTGCAGCCCCTGAGAACTTGCTAGAAAGGCAACTTCTGTGATTCTAAGCCAAACCTACTGAGTTAGACCCTGTGGTGGTTTGAATGAGAATGGCCCCTATAGGCTCATATATTTGAATATTTGGTCCCCAGATGGTGGAACTTTTTGGGAAGGATTAGGAGGTGTGGCTTTGTTGGAGGAAGTGTGTCACTGGGGGTGGCTTTGTTGGAGGAAGTGTGTCACTGGGGGCAGGCTTTGAGGTTTCAAAAGCCCACGAGGCCATTCGCAGTCAGTTCTCTCTGCCTCGTGACTGTGTCTTGAGATGTGAGCGCTTAGATACTGCTCTAGCACCATGCCTGCCTGCCTGCCCCCTGTAACACTCCCCTCCACGATGGTCATGGACTGTCTCTGAAACTGTAAAGCCCCAAGTTAAACACCGCCTTTACCTTTGTTGTGGTATCCTATCACAGCAATAGAAAAAGTAACCAAGACAGAACCTGAGGCTGGCTGGGCCTAGGAATCTGTTTAAATGAGCCCCCTAGAAGGATGCACGCAGGTGTCTGAGAGCCCTCAATGATGATGCTTGTCCAAGCCGCTGGAGCTAAGGACATCCAGGCTCTGCCAGCAGTCAACCTCCTGCACTTTCCATCCTTTCTTTTTGTGACTGCCATTTTGAAAGTCCACGGGGTCATCGGGTCATCGTGAGTATTTGTTTCCAATCCTTCGTTGGGTCACGCGGCCTCCTGCTGCCCCAGGCGGCTGCATTCCCAGCTGAAGTGGCAG